AGAGGTCATGGGCAGGACGTTTCTCTAAGTTGAGATAGACTAGCAGTGCAGGAGTATGGGGAGATATGAGGAGAATGGCGAGGCTCCAACAGGAAGGTTGATTAGAGCCTTGACTTGGGGTCACTGCCAATCAAGTCTGAGCCTCAAAGTCTCTCCAGTGTGTGTCTGGCAAATACTCTTCTCCGGCCTTCCAAGAGCCCATCTGTACACTGCTGGAACATGCTCAAATACTAATTTCCACAAGATCAGTACAGTCAAAAAAATCTACAACTGCCCCCACAATTACCATGACTCCTCACAAGGAATTAATGTCTACATTATATGCAAATTCATGTTAGCTCCTTTTATTAATTTCTGCCCTTACCATCTCCCACCAATTTTGTTTCATTTGGGCTTTGAGGAATTCAAAACTGATTACTGGGCTAAAACTTTCTCTGTTCCCTAAGCCACAATCACACTACTACTTCTAGTTTGTAAAAACATACTTTATGGGTTGTAAGAAATTTTATTTCTTTCTCTTTACTACAGTAAAGTTAGTTGATGATGATGATATGATGATATGATCACTAGCAATATCCCCCAATTTTATCCACAAGGATTTGGAGACTCAAATAGATGGAGTAACTTTCCCTGAATTATATGAACTCTAGGTCTTCAACCCTCTTTCCCAACCTCACCTTGAAGGGATGGGATAAAGAGGATCTTCAAGTTCGGAAGAATGTTTTAAATCCTTATCTCTGCCCCCACCTCCCTGCCCCACCCCCGTCACCCCATTCTTCTCCCAGGGAAGAAATTTTCCCAAGGGTGTGCCAGAGGATGCCAGGATATTTTCCATTTAAGAAAAGTTTGGTTATTTCACCATTTCACAGGATACTTTAAGTTCAAGTCCTAAGTACTACTGGAACTGAGAAATTCTTTCTCTTTCTCGTCTTCTATCTCCAATCCTTTTTCCTCATCTCGATAAGTAGCCTGTCTTCTTTACCCTTTGCCTCCATCCTGTAAAAGTCAATCACACAAATCGCATCATTCTTGTCATACCCAACTAAATCAGGGTTGAGAAGCTGGGTGGCAGCACTCTGAGTACAACAACAACAGCAAAAAAAGTTTGCTCCAAGAATGTAATTCTCTGCAAAACTGACTGCTGGGACTGCCTGCTGTAACCTGGGAGCAGTTTTATTTACAGCTGCTGAGATAACTTGCTGCAACTCTAAGACGAATTTTGCCCACTAATCAGAGCTTGCCAGCTCTCCAAACCTTTACTAGTGTCAATGAACTTTCTTGAAGAGCAATGTGTAACATTTCTCTCTTTAATAAAACCTCTAAACTTCTCTTCTTCAGACATACTGAAGACCACCTGGTCTATGTATATATCCCAAATTGCAAGTCTTTTTCCAAATAAAACATTAAATTTAGAGATTCAGCTCTAGATTTTTATTTTGACTTTGACAATCCTCATCCTCATTTTGTTTATGACCATCCTAGTGACCACCATTCTTCTCTTCCTCTTCCTCTTCCTCCTCATCTTCTGAGAGCAGACCCTTTGGATGGAGTCTTAGGATTCTACTACAAATAATACATCTTTGAGAAGTTCTCTATCAGGTTATATATATATTTTTATTTTTTATTTTTTTGAGACAGTCTTTACTGTCACCCAGGCTGGATTGCAGTGGTATGTTCTCAGTTCACTGCACCCTCAGCCTCCCAGGTTCAATCGATTCTCCTGCCTCAGCTTCATGAGTAGCTGGGCTTACAGGTGTACACTACCATGCCCAGATAATTTTTGTATTTTAGTAGAGATGGGGTTTTGCCATGTTGGCCAAGTGGGTCTTGAACTCCTGACCTCAAGTGATCCACCCACCTTGGCCTCCCAAAGTGCTGGGATTACAGGCGTGAGCCACCACGCCTGACCTATTTTAAATGGCAAAATGCATTAATTAATGCAGTTGTATCTAAATTAAAGTGGCTTATATAAAAATTGAGGAACAACCTTACCATTTTCTCAAAGTTTTCACAATCATGTTTGGATATGTCACTTTCCCTGGGCTAAAAACAATGTTTAATAAAAGCTAAATAATTCTGCCCTCCAGGCCGCTTCTACTGCTGTTCACCTAGAAGCCAGAAAAAGGAACAAACAGGGACCCTTGGCGCTCATTATTATTGTGAAGAAATTGCAGATGAAAGCTTGGTACTTTTTCTGAGTGAGTAAATAATTTATCTTGGAATAAAAACTTAGACAAAAAGAGATAAGATGAATACACAGTTACAGGCTTCAAAAATAGATATGTCTCACATCAATTTAGTGGACAATTATCCAAATATATTAAAGATTGTGCAACAGTATGGGAATACATTTATGATGGATTAAAGAGTGGAAAAGACGTAATGTAAAATTATGTGTATTTGATGAAAACAATGTAAAAAATACACCACAGAAGAACATATGCATAGCTGATGAGTTATGTAAGGATGGTGGTTTCTAATTTAGTTGCAGTGTCTTCAGAGAACATGGTTTGCATGAACCCTGTTATTTGTTATTTGTTGAGAACTGCACTGCTTCTATTCAGTGGTCAGGTTTTATAAATATTCTATGTGTGCTTAGAAAAAACATGCATTTACTATTGGGCACGGTGTCCTTTCTTCATGTGACTATTAGATCAAGCTTGTTAATTGTGTTCAAATCTTTTTTTTTTTTTTTTGAGATGGAGTCTCACTCTGTCACCAGGCTGGAGTGCAGTAGTGCTCTCTTGGTTCACTGCAACCTCCACCTCCCGGGTTCAAGCGATTCTCCTGCCTCAGCCTCCCGAGTAGCTGGGACTACAGGCATGTGCCACCACGTCCAGCTAATTTTTGTATTTTTAGTAGAAATGGGGTTTCACCATGTTGGCCAGGATGGTCTCGATCTCTTGACCTCGTGATCCGCACCCCCTCGGCCTCCCAAAGTGCTGGGATTACAGGCGTGAGCCACCGGGCCCAGCCAAAATATTTTATAGCTATACCAATTTTTATTCTGATATAGAACATGATGATGATGTCTGAAATCTTCCCTTATGATTGTGGTTTTGTTTTTTTTTCTGTTTAATTTTTGCTTTCCCTTTTGTGCAGCTATGTTATTCAATTTATACAAGTTTAAAACGATCATGGTTTCTTGATTAGTTGTTCCTTTCATTATCATGTATTCTCTCTCTTTATGCCTAGTACATCTTTTGGCTTAAGCTGTATTTTTCCTTGCTACCAGTACAGGTGATCTTCAACTTACAATGCAAAACCACCATAAGTTGATATAATAACTCAGTTGTGAGCTGAGAAGCATACTAAATTCCTGTCATTTTTGCACCATCATGAAGTTGAAAAACTAGGTCAAACTCTCATAAGTTGCAGACCATCTATATGGGTACACAAATGTTTTGTTAGTATTTGCTTGCTATAACTTTTCCATCTTTTGCTTTCAATCTTTCTGCAATTTTATATTTTAGATGTGTCTATTATAAACAAGACATGGCTGAGTCTTCCACACCATAAATTTAGTCCATTTTCTTTTGTTTTTATTGCAGAGAGATCTGGAAATGTTTTTGGTCTTATACTGTACTCCTTATAGTCATTTTTCTATACTTTTTCTCCTTCCCTTGAGTTATTGATAATAAGTTTAAGTTATTGATTCGAGATCTTTTTTCTTTCTCATATATGCATAAAAAACTACAAATTTTGCCCTAAGCTTTTCTTTAACTGCATCCTATAAATCTTGATGTATGGAATTTTCATTTTCATTCTGTTCCAAATATATCTGATCTAGGACTTGTATCCAGAGTATGTAAATAATTCTTATAATTTATTAATAAGACAACCCAATTAAAAATTGGGCAAAAGATTTGAATAGAAGATGTAAGAATGGCTAATAGGCACATGAAAAGATGCTCAATATCTTAGTCATTAGGGAATTTAAAATTAAAGCCATAATAAGACCATTTCACATCCACTAGGATGGCCATAAACAAAAAGATAGGCAATAATAAGGCTGGTAAGGATGTGGAGAAATGGAAACCCTCATATGTTATTGGTGGAAATGTGAAGTAGTACAGCAACTTTGGAAAACAGTCTGGCAACTTCTGAAATTTAAATGTAAATTGCCATGCAACCCAGCAATTTTGCTCCTAGATGTATACGCAAGACACATGAAAATATGTGTCCACACAGAGACTTGTATGTCAGTGTTCATAGCAGCATTATTCATCATTACTAAAAAATGGAAACAACTCAAATATTCATCATATTCATGAAACATTGAATGGATGAAGAACATTTGGTATGTTTGCACAGTGGAATATTATTCAGCAGTGAAAAGGAAGAAAGACACTACTGTTACATGCTCTACATGACAAACCTCAAAAAAGTTGTGAATTGAAACAAGCTATACGCTAAAGACTACGTATTGTAAGATTCCATTTATCTGAAATGCCCATAGAAAACAAATCTATAGAGACAGAAAGAAGACTGGTGGTTTCCTGGGATTGGGAGTGGAAATGGGATTGACAGCACATGGCACGAGGGATCTTTAAGGGCTGATGGAAACTGGATTATGATAATGGGCATGCAACTTTATAAATGTTCTAAAATCATTGAATTGTATACATAAAATGGGTAAATTTAATGGTGTTATACCTCAATAAAGCTGTTCTTTTTGGAAAAAACAGCTAGTGAACTAGACTAGCTCTGCATTTTTTTTAGAAATAATTTCTTACATCCTGTGCCTAGATGGCCAATATTAACTCAAGAAACTAATGGGCATAGAAAAATTAAATGTGCCTCAAAACACTCAAGATGAAGACAGCAGTCTTCAATAGTCAACGTCATGTCTATTTCAGAGAGAAAAGGTCCAAGTTCAGTGGCTTGAACCTTGTTGCCTTCCATGAAAGGAAGCAGTTGGAATGAGCTTTGCCCCTGGTGACACTCTTCCTTGTCACTAATTAACCAGCTCTATAGGAAGGTTCCTCCGCCAACACCCTTCTCTGCCTGGAGAGACATCTGGCCAAGTTCCGGTGAGCAGGAAAAATGTCTACTCGTTACCACCAAGCTGCTAGTGATAGTTACCTGGAACTTCTAAAAGAGGCTACCAAGCGAGATCTAAATCTTTCAGATGAAGATGGCATGACTCCCACTCTCTTGGCAGCCTACCATGGGAACCTGGAAGCCCTAGAGATAATCTGCAGTAGAGGGTAAGTTCAACCCGATGGTTTCCGTTGGAAACAGTGTTCACAGTAGGTTTTTGCAGATAGCAGCAAGAGTCAGGGATGTCAATACAAATACTTTATCCTCTTTCTAGATTGTCTAAATGATTGGATTTTTAGAGAAAGAGAGAAAACTATGCCTAGAGATGCTCTCTTTTCTCACTGAGGTCTGGCAATATGGGAGTGGCTCATCCCTTAGCCCCAATCAGAGGAGAGACTCTGAACTCTAAGGCATTATCTGCATGGGGAAGAGGGAAGATCTTTTAATTCTATGCCTTTAAAAATGCTTTTCATGAAATTTAAATAGTTTTCTCTTTTAAAAGAGGCCATTATTTTACTTGGTTTTAAGTTGTCAACCTTGGTTGGAACAAATGACAGTTTTTAGTTTTTTGTTTGTTTGTTTGTTTGTTTTTTTATCTATGCCATCAAAATCCCACAGTCTTTTATAAACTTTCAATCCCAGTGCAAGCTCATGATTTTTTTTTTTATTTTTTATTTTTGACACAGGGTCTTGCTCTTTTGAATGGAGTTGCTGGCTCTACAAGGAATCTTTAGCCTGTCTTAGCTCTATCACTTGTTTGGCTAGTGGATAGACACACACACACACACACACACACACACACACCCCATCTCTTTGCCCAGATTTTAATGGAGGAGTCAGCTAAATCCTCTGCTTGTTCTGCCTGTTATCAGAGGGCTAGATTGTGTTGGCAACCATAATGCAAGAGGGTAAAGAAAGAGAAAAGGGCAAGGTAAATAAAGGAGCCAGGTGAATCCAATTCAATATACCCATTTATTCAGTATCTGTTATGTGCCAGCTACTTATCTGTTAAGAGATATTTTGCTAGCCACTGGGCACACTGCGATCAACAAGACAGCCACAATCCCTGTTGTAGTGATCAGATTTGAGAGAGGAAGACAAGACATCTATGATGTGTGTGTGTGTGTGTGTGTGTGTGTGTGTGTGTGTGTTTGCTTTGAGACGGGGTCTCACTCTGTCACCCAGGCTGGAGTACAGTGTCGAGATCATAGCTGACTGCAGCCTTGAGCCCCAGGCTTAAGTGATCCTCCCACCTGAGCCTCCCAAGTAGCTGGGACTAGAGGTGTGCGCCACCATGCCCTGCAATTTTTGTATTTTTTGTAGTGATGGGGTTTTGCCATGTTGCGCAGGATGGTCTTCAACTTATGAGCTCAAGTGATCTGACAGCCTCGGGCTCCCAAAGTGCTGGGATTATAGATGTGAGCCACTGTGCTTGGTTCATCTATGATATTTGTTACAAAAGGGGAAACAGAGGGCACTAAACAGGCATTTACCTCAATCTCAGGGGTGAGGGAAGGCTTCCCTAAGGGGAAAGCATTTAAGCTGGGATTAGGAAAATGAGAACAAGTTGGCCAGGTGAAAGAGTGTTTTCCCTAAGATGGAAAACTGTGTCCTGAGAACTAGAGAAGCTGAGTATGGCTGGACATGGCTCAAGTAGGAGTGGGGTCAGGGCAAGTGTGAGAGATAAGACCAGATCACACACAGCCTTGCCAACTCTGGTAAGGACTTTATCCTAAGGGCCCAGGAAGCCATGTCTTAGGTTTATGCAGGGAAGCTTCCAGAGTAGATTTATGTTTACAAAACTCACTGAGGTAGATGGATAACAGTCGGAGAGAATGTTTGGGGATGTTTTAATGGTTGAGATGAGTTGGACTAGGGTAGTGACATTGGGAATGGGAAGATATAGTTGGATTTGAGTGGCAGTTTGGATGTAGAATCAATAATGATTGACTGGACGTGGGCAGATAAAGAAAAAGGAGGGTTAAGGTCCCAGGTTTTGGATGTTGACACCCTTTATTAAAATAGGGGACATTTAGGAAGAGTCAGAAGAACCCAGGATTGGGAGAGTTCTCGAGTTGAAGATTGAATGAGGAAGTGAGTGAAGCAGATCTTCCCCATCTCTCTTGTCTGATTAAAACTTTCTTTTCTCAGACATATCGATCCCCATCAGCTAGCCTTCTCCAGTCATCTCATCTCTTCTATGCAGGCTAGAGTTCCCCAGCTTTCTCCATCTACAGAAAGGTTACCTCCTTCCACAAACTGCAAGATGTCAGTTACTTTAAAATCAATGTGTTAGCCTATTCTTGCATTGCTATAAGGAAATGCCTGGGCCTGCGTAATTTATAAAGAAAAGAGGTTTCACTGGCTCATAGTTCTGCGGGCTACACGGGAAGCATAGGAGCTTCTGCTTTTGGGGAGCCTTCAGGAAGCTTCCAATCATGGCAGAAGGAAAAGACATCTCACATGGCAGAAGCAAGAGCAAGAGAGCAAGGGGAGAGGTGCTAGAAACCAGATCTAATGAGAACTCACTATCATGAGGACAGTACCAAGGGGGATGGTGCTAAACCATTCGTGATCCAGTCACCTCCCACCTGTCCCTACTTCCAACATTGTGGATTACAATTTGATTTGAGATTTGTTCCCCACGAAATCTCACAGATCCAAACTGTGTCAACCACTGAGTTTGTCCTCCTAGAAGAGGGTGTGGGGTTCTTCTCAGTCAGCAGAGAGCTCTTGTTCCATTTGAGGACCATTTTGAATAGTAATGCTTAGGTATTCTCTCTCTCTCACCTGTGAAAGCTTGAAATATTCTCTTACAATAACTGTTCTGCTGGTCTTTATTTAATTTTTATTTTTAATAGAGACAGGGTCTTGCTTTGTTGCCCAGGCTGGTCTCGAACTCCTGAGCTCAAATAATCCCCCTGCCTCAGCCTCCCAAAGTGTTGAGATTACAGATGTGAACCACAGCACTCAGCTTGGTTCTGCTAGTCTTTAATTACAAAAGTAACATGAGCTGAACCCAGAAAATTAAACCTTACATATGCACACAAAACATGAAGACAAAATGTCCTATAATGCCATGCTACTAAGATGTATATAGTTCTCTCTATATATAATATAGTGTGTATAAATACATTTTAATATTCTTCTATAAATTTCAGGGACTTTGTAGGACTCTAATCAGCAAATACATTTCTTAGCCAACCCCTCTCCTGGACACACGTGGAACAACACAGTTATTTTCCCTAGTGTGAAAAGTGCGTGATGACATCCTTGTACAATAAAATTTTGCTGACATTGTCTTTTTGTGTTTGTTTTTGTGTTTTTTTTTTTTTTTTTTTTTTGGATGGAAGTCTCCGTGTCGCTAGGGAGTGCAGTAGCGTGATCCTGCCTCACTGCACCTCCAACCCTCGGTTTCGAGCAATTTCCATGCCCTCATGCTCCCAAGGTAGCTGGTGACTACGCATGCACCACCACGCGGCGGCCAGCTTTAATTTTGTAATTTTTGTATTTAGTAAGATAGGTTGTCACATGTATGGCCAGGCTAGTCTTGAACCCCTGACCCTCAAGGTGAATCTGCCTGCCTCAGGCCTCCCAACGTGCTGGATTACAGGCGTCAGCTACCGGGCCGGCCATATTTCTTGAGAATAAATTCTTCAAAGTGAAATTCTGCATCAATTTGCATTTGTGTTGTCCATTTGTAATTGCTATAACAAAATAACCCTTAGATAAGGTAAATTTATAAAAACTAAATTTAATTTCTTACCGTTCTGGCAGCAGTGGACATCCAAGATCCAAAGCACCAGCAGGGACTGGTGCCCTGGTGAGAGCAACCGTTCTCCGCTCACCAGATGGTACCCTTGTTGTTTGCACCTCTGCTGTCCTCACATGGAGAGAAGGAGGAAGCGGGCAAAAAAAAAGGGCAAATTCCGCTGGTCAAGCCCTTTTATAAGGGTGCCTACCCCATTCAATGCGAGGCAGAGTCCCTCATGACTCAATATCATCCTAAAGGCCACGCTGCTTAACGCTGTTACGTGACGATTAAGATTTCAGCAACGAATTCTAGAGGGACAAAGACATTTCAAACCTGAGCAGCGTATTGCATTTAAAGACTTTGATATATAAATGGACCAGTTGTCCTTCCAGAAAGTGAGTAACCTCCATTTGCCAGACATGATAGGTCAAAATGAAATATCCAGGCTGGGTTGGGCCACTCCTGTAATCCCAGCATTTGGGAGGCCAAGGCGGGCGGATCACTGTGAGGCCAGCAGTTCGAGGCCAGGCTGGCCCAACATGGCGAAACCTATCTCTAACTATAAGATCAAATTATGTGGTGTGGGTGGTGCACGCCTATAATCCCACGCTACTCAGGAGGCTGAGGCACAATTGCTCTCTGAATCCCTTGAAACCCAGGTGGCGGAGGTTGTCAGTGCAGCAGAGAATGAGTCCACTTGCACTCCAGTCTGGGCAGCCAGAGTGAGAGACTCTGTCTCAAAAAACACAAAACAAAGAGAAAAGTATACAGTGGGCTTTAATGTTCCTTTTCTTTGTTTACTGACGAGGTTGAAAATTCTTTTTATGCTAAAAAGATTGCGCCCATTGGAAATTCCACTTTTTGGAACTGTTATTATGACCTTAATTCCACTTTTATATGGGTTTCGAACATTCTCCTTGATTGATAAAAATGCTTTGAAAGTTAACAATATCAACTCTTGTCATATAGCACAAACACTTTACAATACAAGTGTTATAATTTTGACAAAGGATTTTTACATATAAAATGTTAAACAAAATATAATTAATATATAGTCTATCAGTCCTTGTTTGTGGATCAACTTTGAGGTCAATGACTCAATATTGACTGATCCTTTAGTGCCATTTAGT